CAAAAAAAGAACAAACAAACAAAAACAACAACAAAAAAACAAACCACACAAAACCAACCAACCAAAAGACAAAACAAAACAAAACAAACAAACAAACAAACAAACAAAACAGCAGCTAACTTCGAAAAGACTGTCAGGTGTTAATAGCTACTTGTCTCATTGAGGTTTTATGTTATTGTCATGCTGACTGAAGTTTACAGCCTTTAGCAATTAGATATTTCCTCCTCATGTTTGACATTTTTCCAAGAGAAAGCCTACAACAGGTATAGTTCTTCTACTGTCAGGCCCACTTAGATCTGTTTCTGTTGGCTCACCCATCCCTGGATTGCATATTGTGGCTTTTTGATGTCCTTAGTGTGAGTGTCCTGTCCTGTGGGTACTCAGCAAAGGCTTTCAGCTTGGTGTATTATTATGTTGCATTACCAGCACTGCAGAGCACGTGAGAGTTAATTGACATTCTGACTTTCTAAAGGAAATTATAAATTATGGCTGATGTAGTTTGAATTAGGTTTAAAGATGCTGGTTCAAGATATGCTTTTTTTGTTTTGTTTTATTTTTTTTTTCTAGGATGTATCCATGAAACTGTAGTGAAAATAATGCATTTTCATAAAAAGAACTAATATATATATATATTAATAATGTTCTTTGATTATCCTGACAGGTTACTAAAACATCATTCAAGCTAAAACATCTATTGTAAGGTGGCTTAAACATAGAGTCTTTTGAATGCTTGAATTTAAGACCAGTGACTTAAATATTGTAAAAAGGATTGTGATTTTTATGTTAATCTCATTTTGTTGCTTTAATATACTTCTGATAAATAAGATAAGTGAACTTCTATATGAATAGCTATTAATTTTCAATTCTCCATGCAGTATGTTCCTCTGCATATAAACCACATACAAATTAATTTAAAAGTTCAGTACACCTACTCATGAGTTTCATTAACTTGCATAATTATGCAGTAGAGATACCACAGTAGAAGATAGAACTAAAGCTGACAGTACACATCAATAATTTAACATAAAATGCGTTATAAGGAATTTCTAATTGTCTCCAAAACCCAAGTGTTATAAATGAGGAAACTTAGAATTAGAATTATATTTTAAGGAGCTATTAACCCATTAAACTATAACAATACTATAAGATGGGCACACAAATATATTTGGACACGAAGTTATATTTTCCTATGACAATTTTAGTATAATAACCCTTATCCTGAAGATTTATGAACAATCTTGACTTTCTGCATTATGAATAGCCCTTTTGACTTCAGTGGGAGTACTCATGGTGCTTAATAATTAAGCATCTGCATAACCCTTAGAAGAATCTTGAGGGGAAAGTGATTTTCTTTAAAACATAAATCTTACATAACTATAAGGCTCTGTGTCAAAAATCTAAGGTGTTTTTAGGACTTTCTCCTTCTCCTGCCATTAGTGAAGTTTGTTCTGGGCTCTTCACGATGCCACTATGCTATGTTGGGTCAGGAGCAGAAACCAAGCTTGATGTCTCACCTTGAGGCCTATAAATAGAAGTTGGAAAGAGGTCACACAAAAGGTTTACCCTTCAGAATTGGCCTTCACATTTCTATATTAGTAATAGCATTTAAGTCAGAAGTAGAATTAAAAAGATTGGAAATAATCCATCTCTCTAAAGAGATATCCGTAAGTTTTTTAAATATATGAATATCATCCAGAACATTTAATTATTTTCTAGGTAGATACAGATCAACACATATAGATAGCTGTGATGTTTGATAAAACTGCAGCTGAGCTGATAAATTTATTTCTGTAACTACTGCATCAGTTGATTATAACCTTGAGGAATTCAAAGAAAATCTTGTGACATCAGTGAAGTTGGCTCATGTTATTTCCCATTTCTGCTATCAGTGTTATCGTGACAAGAAACATAATTTGTGCTATTTCCCAATTTATTTACATTTGTTATCTTGAAAAGTATTAGTGGTGTCACCAATTTTTCTGTACATCCTATGCATTCTAAGTAACAAAGCAATGAGCTGATGCAGCAATGTGGGAGGACCTTGTTTCCCAGGGTCTAATAACAAAGGCTTCAAATGAAATGAAGCAAAGATATCTGCAAAAACAGACTTGCAATGAGGACAGTGGATACACAACCAATGCGTATCCATTCTCTGGACAGATTTTCTACTGGAAAGATATGTTAGCATCACAAATGACAGTACTACAATTGTCAGTAATTGGCATTCCTGTGTGTTCCCAGTTAAAAGACTGCAATTTAGAGGGATGAAAACTGTACAAAACAAAATGTGTCCCCTCATATAGAAGTGGTTTCTCTAGGCACTGAGGAATTGAAAGGGTAGTATGTGAAGCTTGAATTGTATCTAACTCTTCTGGTGATAAAGATGTCTTTCTCATAGGCTAGAAATAGTTCATGAATACACAGTTCATTTCAAATGAGGATGGGAAATTCTGTATCTTCATATGTGTCTTATAAAGAAAAGCAAGAACAGGAAACCTCTTTTGGTGAAACATTGTTTCTTAGTCATGCTATAGATAAGTGTGTAAGATTGTGGATCCATGGGTTTATTTTTCCTTTGCATGGTGTCTGTTGTGCTGTGCAGTTCATTGCCCACAGAGAACTGTTTCAAGGCAGAGCCTGAGCTGGAGCTACTAGTGATAGATGAACAGACTAATTTTCTAATTTAGAAGTTGAACTGGGTGCTCCCTTACCTAAAAATATCTGTATCCTCAACTATATAGCAGTCTATGGCAGACATGACCCAGAGATACCTCTTTACTGGTCATTTGTGGTGTGTGAATCATGAATTATGTGAACTATGGATACAACTCAATGTTGGCAATAACAATAAAGAGCTTGTTGAACAGCAGTAATTTATATATACTTAGGAAGGTTGCATAACATCATTAATAACTGCCAACATGACCAGTAGATAACAGAAGATAACTTTATCCTCGGGTAATGCTGTCTAGCAAGAGCCAGCTTAAACAAGCCTCAGTCAAGTGAGGGGTATGGTAGATATGGGAAAATATTGCAGTGTTGTCATACTGTCTGGTAATGATGAAAGGTTATCAGAAGGATGTGGGGTCATCAGCTTTTACCCTGGAGAAGCCTTCGATGAATGCCAAGTTTTTACAAATCACACACCCTAAAGCAGCCATTATTATGGCAATGACAGAGCATGAGAGACAAGATTTGTCCCAGTCGCCTCTCCAGTGCAGTCTGGTGACTGAGGCTGTCAGAGCAGTACCAGGGACCATCACTAGATAGTCCTCACACTGCAACAAAAGGAGGACCCACTGAGAAAATATGAAATACTTGACCCAGATTCCATGAGGTATTAAGTAGTTGCAGTGGCAAGGTCAGATCCTAATGGAGTAAGAAGTTTTGTTAAATTAGTTGATTAAACTAAGAACATTTCCTGTTTGAAAGAGAGTGAGATGTTGGCCATTTTAGCGAGGACCTTGTGCAGATCGACTGCAGTGAAGGCTCCTGGCAGGGAGGCGTATGGAGCCAAACCCTAACCCCCAGTAACACAACACAGAGCCCTTTGGTCAGAGCCACAGCCCTGGCCCCACACCGAGCAGGCAGGAGCTGTGCTTGTGCCACTGCAGGCCCTGACATGCTGAGGGCAGAGTCAGGGGTGGCAGCACACAACCCCTGATGGAATAAAAGCAGGCCCCAGGGCAGGCAGTTAGGCCAGGCATTTAGGCTGTGCAGGCTGTTCAAGCAAGGCAGCGGGGAGGATGGGGAGGATCCTCTCCTCCCTTTCCCACCTCCCTTTCCCTTACACTCCTCTCTTCTGGGAACTCTGCCTCTTAAAAGTTATAATTCACCATGGTGGGCACCCATTGGCAGCGGCTGGGCCGAGGCAGCGACCTGAACTAAGGGGACACAGCCACTCTGGGCTCAAGTGGGCACCCAGGTGGATCCTCTGTGGGGTAAAGTGGCCGTCCAGTCTGGAGACTGTGGGAATCTCCGGAATCTGGAGGCCCCCCTGGGTCCTGAGAGAGGAGAGGGCTCTCATAGGTGCAGGTGTTCCCTGCTCAAGGAACTGCTCGAGTGGATGGCCAGGCTGCAGCAAGAAATGGGCAGCCTGAGGGGCTCCTGGGAGTCTCTGAGGGAGACAGATAGGAGGTGTCAACCTGCCCCTACTGAGGCCCAGCAGCCCCCTCTTAAATCCCTGCAAGGGGTAGTGGCTGATCCAGCTGCTCACCTGCAGGACAGAAGGCTTGACTGCTCATGAGAGGAAAGGGGCTGGGCCCTCCTCTCTGCTCAAAGCAGAAGGAGGCGTCTGTCCCCAACACCCATGGTGCCACCAACCCCCATGGTGTCACTGGGTAATAGATTCAAGGTTCTTGGGCGGGAAAAGGATGACAGTATGGACCGTAGTCCAGACAGAGGGATTTGGTCAACCTCTTTTCAGTGGTTTGTGGGGACAGGACAAGGGGCAATGGTAAAAAAAACGGAGCACAGGAAGTTCCGCACCAACACACAAAAGAACTTCTTCATGGTAAGGGTGACAGAGCACTGGAACAGGCTGCCCAGGGAGGTTGTGGAGTCTTCTCTGGAGATATTCAAGGCCCATCTAGACGCCTACCTGGGCAACCCGCTCTAGGAAACCTGCTTTGGCAGGGGGGTTGGACCCAATGGTCTCTTGAGGTCCCTTCCAACCCCTAAAGTTCTGTGATTCTGTGAAAGGAAAGTCCTAATCAGCAAGGCTGAGAAGCATGATGACAGTCTGAGTTATAGACTAAACATAAGATACTTTTTCTTTGACTCTCATGTCCAGATGATGAAAAAGACAATAAATATGTGGCTGTAGTGAATGTATGTCTTCAGCAAATATAAAGTACTAGTGTTGAGTACAAGAGGAAGAAGAAAATGAAAATTGACTTTTTTGTCCCATTATCTCTTTTCATCTCATTATCTTCATTTCATTATCTTTTACTCTGACAACCACAATAAATAAATAAAAAATGACAGACATTCCTGCTCAACAGATCAGAAACACAACATTTATGATCTAATACATCACTCACTTCATTTCTTTCACTGTAAATAGACCATTAAAAATGCTGGTTCTTTAGTCAAAATTGTTTGATGCTTCTCCAGTCTTCACAATCCCAAAGAAATTTTCACAGCCTCTTAACTTGACCTCTGTGCAAACCTCACTGGAAGGGTGTGAATCCACTGTGATACTTCTGAAAGATTGAGGATATACAAAGTATTAAATAATAATAATAATAATAAAATAATAAAAATGTATTTTATCATTATCTGACAGGGCTGAGGAATGGAAAGGGGAAGGGAAGAGGAAAGGGATTAACAATAAGGGAAAAGAAATCTAGCAGGCATAGAGATTCTGGGCTTCATACTCAGTAAGGGATGCATGTAATTTTTGTTGGCAACCAAAGATCTCTTATGTAGTGTTTCTCTCATAGAGTCACTCTGTATAGATGTGTTCAGTTCAAGATGAAAGCCTCTGGGTGGAGTTAAGTTGTCCTAAACCCTCTTCAGCATTTAAACCCTTTTCTCCACCTCACATAGACTAATATATAGCCATTTATGTGTTTAACTAAAATATCTACTGTAAACTGCAGCTGTCCTAAATATGCTCTGAGCAGAATTTGGAGCACACATAAACAGAAATCTCTGTCACAGCTAGTGAAGTCCTCCAAAGTCCTTAGGGAAAGGGGGCACACAGGTGTGAAATGATGAACCAGGTTTACCTTTCATGACCACTTCAGACCACGGTCTTTTTGACAGTCTCGGGGACTTCCATAGTGGGTTTGACTCATGGCTAAAAATATTTTCTCATCTGAAACTAAAGTTGAAAAAATTATCAGCTGACACTTGAGATCTCTCTCTTTTTTTTTTTTCCCGTTGCCTAAGGTACTTCAGAAATTACATAAGCCATAAGAAAAATCATGTTGATAGCACTGCTGATGTGAAATTAAAATTTCTGAATATTTGAAAAAAAATAATGTGTGACTTACTGGTCTTTGGTTGGATCATTGTCATGTTGAGACAGATATGTGCAGAAATGTGCCCACAATGCCTCTAATTGCAACAGCTGTTATTGCCCCATTCTGTTTAACATCTGCTTCAAAGCAATAATCCCATTGATGGCTCTGATATATCTGCCAGCTGTTCCTAATAAAACAGGAGAGTTACAACCCTTTTAAGTGACAATCATTCAAGATGCTCCATAATTGCATAACTGCATAGAAGAATGAGTTTTTTTCTGAAAATGATCAACTGAATATTTCAATTATTTCTGTAGAATGCTTTCTTTTCTGGATGACTGCTCTGATATGGAAAAAATAACCAATAAAACCCCCAAACCAACCAAACAACAACAACAACAAAACAATAACCACAAACAAAAAACAAGCAAACAAAAAAAGAACAAAACAAAACAAAACAAACAAACAAACAAAAAACCACATTGTTCACCAAAGTTTACTTAGTTACTTTCTAAAGTAAATCATGAGGGGGACTTAAAGATATCTGTACTATAAAACCAGAAATTTCAAAGACTCATAAACATTGTAGCTCAACTGGGCATTCATCTGGCAATTTATTCTAAACTCCTGAAGGAATTTTTGCTATTCTTCAGCAGAAATGATGAGTTAAATATATTGTACATAAAAATAAAATTAAAAATAAAATAAAATAAAAATAGAAGAATAAGAAAACAGAGGAGATAATCTCATTGCTTCTTTTAAGAAAAATGTGTCCCTAGAAAATCTGTGCACCCAGGTATTTTTACTCTGAACTGGTAACTGGACATTTCTGGAACACTGAAGGAAGGCCCCTCCATCATACACTAGTTCTCTCTTTATGGTAGTAGTGTTTACAAGAATGTTATGGTTGCCTTCCCATGAGACCAGAAGATCTGGATAATTGTCTCACAAGTGAAAAATTTTTGCCTCTTTGGCTATCAAACTGTAGTCTGTGGACTAAAGGCAGCATGGGAAAGATGATAGAAAGAAGTCTATTGGTAGCAGCTGTCTATATTTTTAGATGGTAACCTGTATCTCAGATTTAAATGTGTGCAAAGTAAAAAAGTGTTTGAAGATATTGCTGTATTATCTTCTTACAATTGCCTATGTGCAGTCAAAGGACAGCTGACTTTTGGAAGAGGTCTCCAACTTGGCACAAATACTTTATTGAAATGTCAAATATATCAAACTTTTCCATAAGAGCCACTTGTCTTGTGTGTCTGAAAGAATTCTGCTTCAGTGTTTTCATGTTTGGTATTGTTCTTGTTTCCCAACAACCCAAAAGTACAATGTAGACAACATAAAATGTTGTGTGTATCCACAGTCTATGTGAAATAAGATGGTTGCAAGCAAGGTGTTTTTTCTCTGAGATAAAAATACATGAATTACATGAAAATGAGGCCAATGAAAAGCAGCCAGGAAAGAGAATTTTTTTTCTTATGTACGGAGGTCTGCAACCCAATCTCATTTTTTCTCAACAATACTGCTGAGAACTGATAGTGGGAGAAACACTTCCACAGTTAAAGAGTCTTAGGGATTGATTTAAAAAAAAAAAAAAAAGACTCAAAATAGCGATCTACACATGGTGTGAAAGGAGGTTATGGAATATTTGCAGTGAGAATTGCAACTGAAAATGAGTTGTCTTAACAATGTTTAGGAAATAATATAATGCTAAAAAATATTTTATTTGAATGCTATCCATTCTGCTTTCATCTATATCTAGACAGAAAATGAGCATTTTACAGATCTAAGGCAAAAATAAATAAATAAATGCATCCAGCATTTCTTATAATAATGAGGAAAAAAAAAAAAAAACAACACAGAGACAAACTGTATTTAATTTTGGTGATACATGAATAATAATAATAATAATAATAATAATAATAATAATAATAATAATAATAATAATAATAATAATAAGCTGCTGAGTGATATTGACTTGAAGGAAAACAAAAGACATTTGCTTTCCAAGCAGATAGTCTTTTTTCCATAAAATACAAGTTCATAGAAGGCAAAAAAAGCATGACAACAGCTTAGCCAAAAAGACTGTCCATACCTGTTCTGTGACAGTGCACTCTCACCTAAGGTCTGCCAGTTTTGAGGATAGTGTCAGAGATGCAGAAAATTAAAATAGTATCATTCCATGTACAAAGTGAACAAATCTACCCACCAAAACAAAAAAGTCATAAACTCCTTATTGAATCAACACATGAGTGATTTGGGCAGTATTGAAAGATAACAGAAATTACCCACCACACTTCTCAGTCTTCACTGTCTGTATTCTATCAAGAAGTTCAAACTTGAAGCTGGCATAAAAGCGAATATATTATCACATATTTCAGTTCTGAAACAAAAATTTAAATTCCATCCAGCTAATGTTCAGATGTTGTACTTATAGGATATGGAGCTCCAGAATAAATCTGAAAATATCACCTGATGGAGTTAGCTTACATATCTATTTGCTTCCATAAAACCATTTGTAATTTTATTGTCAGACAGAAGAATTATGTATAGAAATATTCCAACATGTGGAAGAGCCACTTTACATGACTAAATGCATTGTACTGAAACAGCGTTAGTGGCAAAAGATTTGGAACCACCTACAGAGCCAGAGAATTTCCAGGTAAAATACTGTCTCAACCATCTATCATCTTAGGTACAGTGACTGCTAGAACTGGAACTAGCCTTGAACTTCCTTGAAGTTGTCTACTACTTAGACAAATCATTTGGTCAAATCTGAAAAGATAAGTGACAGATTTAGACTCATCTAGATTAGCAGAAGTATTTAGAAGACTAACAAATACTGAAATGTGACTAGCTAACAAAAACGTGTTGACTGTTTTAGATGAGAAGAAAATCACTGGAGATAAGGAGGGGAGGACATAGTGAGAGAGTGGATAATTCTCTGAAGGTGGGGAAAAAAAAAAAAGCCAATAAAATTTCCCACTTTTTAATTATGCCAACTAGTAAAGTACTTCTTCAACAAAAGAACACTAAAATTTGGAAAAGATTGTCCAGATAGCAGCTTGTAATACAATAAAAAAGCATTAGTTTGGAAAGGATTAGATGGCAAGAACTTAAGCAAAATTATCAAGTTCAAGCACAGAAAAATTATATTTGTTGTTAGAAGTAGTAAAATACACAGAATCCATATTTCTATTAAAATTTTGGTAAATGACAGAATGACACCAAATGACAAGTCACAGGCAAAAGACCACAAGAGGTGTTTTGGTCCATAAAATGATTTTAGTCCATAAGAGGATTCTTGGAAATGCTTGGGTGCAAAAGGTATGCTATTGTCTGCTTCTGCAGGAAAAATTATATGCCTTACTGAGTTATGCCCAAGGAAAAGGTCTTCATGTTTGGCACAAGGCTCTTGCAATGGGAACATATATCCTGAAAGAGGGCAAAGGAGCATGAATAAGAACAGCAACAAATAAATACATTCCAGTACTAGGATCCTACTTGTTCATAGGTCAGTCATCTCTCAAGGCAGTGGTGCCAGACTCTGTAGGGGTTTGTCTGGTGCAAGGCCATATCTAATTAGTGCTGTGAGATCTGACAAAAGATGGCATCTGGAAGAGAAAATTGCTTCAAGCTTTCTGTACCAAGCCACACTGCAGGTTTCTGATGTACTGAAGCTGAAGAACAAGAGGGGAAAAAAAGGTCTATCCCTAGGATGAGCCTAGGATGAGACCTAATGGAAGAACAAGATGTTTAAATAAGATAGAAATGTTGACCTAGCTAACTTTGATTTATTTCATAATGATCTGCTGAAGTATATAAGCATAATGTAATTACATGGGGAGTTTCTGAAGTTCCAGGGGCATTTCATTTTCCCCCAGAGGCTGGCAACATCACACCTCCTTCTCAGAAAATAGCCATGTCTACTCATCACTTGGTGGAAAACATCAGCCATAACATAAAGTCACAAGGAAGAAAGGAAGAAAAACATTGAACGGTGAATACTTTGTTTTGAAGTTTTCTTCTATTAACCGTGTCTTAGCATACCATTATTTTTAGTACTTCTTGAGCTTCTTATCCCAAAATATGGCACAAATTTCCAAAAAGTATATTTGGTGTGGATTCTAAGCTTAAATACGTCTCATTTTCTGTGTCACTTGACAGTGTAGTCACTAGACTACATCAAAAAAAGAAAATGGTACATCAATTCCTTTAGCAAACAGCCTTCCAGGGTCAGCCTCACCATTCACATCCCTAGGGCATTTTCTCTCTTTCTTTCCTGTTCCCAGAGAATCCTCATCTCATCTTTCAACCTGGCTAGTAGTTTTAAACTAAGAGCAATACAAAGTAGCAGATGTGGATCTATATTTCCTGATGATTTTAAGAGTATAATATCCTTTTTCCATGCCCAAAATTAACATTATTGAATAAGAACCTCAATTTCAAGATTGATAATACAGGCTGCGATCTAGGAAAATTGAACATTACAGGCAATTGGCCTTTCTTTCCTTTTATATCGTCGTTAAATAATAAAAATAATAATATTCATTTCATAAGGATGAATAAAAGACAAATGTATTATACCCGTATTCCAGGATTATATCCAAAATAATATATCTGGCTCCATTTCTAAGTTCTAAAACACACTTCCAGAGCACCCATGGTCTCTGGACCATGAGTCTCACTGTAAAATTAGTATGAATGTATACACTGTCATCAGTCCTTCCTTAACTACATACAGTAAGAGAAACCTTAAGGTTCAGAAGAAAAATATCTGCTGAGCAATTTAAATGCATTATTCTCAACTATTTAGAAAGCGAAGTTGTGTTGATTTCTTGTCTGGGAATGACAGTCTAACAAACCTACAAGATCTTAAAGCTGGAAGCCTTGGGTGCAGATTCCAATTGCAAATCATCATGCCTCATTCTCAGCACAAGCAGGTTGAAAGCAAAATACAGATCACCTCTGTCAAATTTGTCTCAGCGGCCACTTTATCATATTGGCAGCCTTCTTCCTTACTATTGACTGTCTACAGTAACACATTAGTCCAATGTACTGGTTTTTGCTTGTGAAACAAAAAGTGAAATGATTGATATAAAGCAACTTTTATGTTGTGGTGGTGAAAACAAAATAATAAGATTTTAGAAGATGGAAAATTATTAGTGATGAGAGACTCTGTGTGTTTCTGAAAAGGTACAAGTAAATTGCCTATTTATTTTAT